CCAGAACAATGTTACTTGAATTTTTTTACAGCGTGATATTAGACGTGTGGATGCATCTTGTTTTAGTATGCATCATTCTAAATTTTAATCATTTCTACTCAGTTTGCAAACTTTTTTTTTAACTGCATCTGGCTCCTTCCCCCATTGTGAATCTCAAGTTTATTCTAGTTCACCAAGTATGTGCCTTGGCATTTATCCCTATTCGAGAATCCTTTGCACGCAGTAGGTGCTTGGTATTTTTGTATTGAATTAGTACTTTCATTTCACCCTTGTCTTTCATGTTTAGATAATGTCTCAATTTGACAAGTTTTTCTCTCTTAAGGTGTTACCAGCTCTCCCAGCCTTCTATTGCTGTCCCCCTAGGGGGTGTTAAGACATAGAAGTGGGCATTTTGGGTTGTCACAATGACTACAGGGCTCTCTGATGGCATTTAGTGGACAGAGGCCAGGGATGGTTAATGATCCACAGTGCACAGAACAATGACTCGTTCCTCTAGGAATGCCAGCGGTGCCCTTGCTGACAACCACGGACAGCCATTGATGGTTGACAGTACTCATCAGGGATTTGATCCTGTGGCAAACACGCAGTAGGGAACATTTGTTGAGGGCTCACTACATACCAGGCACTGCTATAAAGGTTTTATGTATATTAACTCATTTGATCTTAACAACCTTAGAGGTAATTACTTTACTGCTTCCCCCATTTTATAGATAAGAACCTAAGGCACAGAAAGGCTGAATAATTTGCCCAAAGTTGCACTGCTAGTAGGTGGAAAAATTGGGCCTGATTGAAACACAAGTTGTCTGATAAGAAGCCCAGCATCGGACTTTCTCATCTGCTCGTCTGAATATGCCTCTATACCTGCTCTTAGTCCCGTCATGCTTGATACCCAATTAGTATATTTTTAATGTGACCTGTTAGTAAGTTACATAGCCATCAAGTAATAGCAGGATTTAGATTTAATATGTCTTGGAGGAAGGTAAGTGTTTCCTCACGAGACAGCTTGTCCATCAGTAATTGAGTCCAGGAGCCTTTACAGCCTCTTTTCTGCTTGAGCCATGGCCTTACTGGCTTTTAACTGGTTGTTTGGGATGTGGGAAATGGGAAACTTGTGCCCTCTATATACATGGCCTACCACTCATCATGTTGTTGTTAGGTGCCGTTGAGTTAGTTCTGACTCATAGTGACCCTACGTACAACAGAACAAAACACTTTCCGGTTCAGTGCTATCCTCACAACTCTTACTGTGTTTGAGACCATTGTTGCAGCCACTGTGTCAGTCCATCTTGTTGAGGGTCTTCCTCTCTTTCAGTGACCCTCTACTTTACCAAGCATGATGTCCTTTTCCAGAGACTGGTCTCTCCAGATAACATGTCCAGAGTATGTGTGTGAGATGAAGTCTTGCCATCCTCCCTTCTAGCACTCTGGGTGTACTTCTTCCAAGACAGTACACTTATCATAGGTGAAGTTAAATTGTGTTGGTGTGATTTCAGTTTCATAAAAACATGATGGTTGTCTTCCAAAACTTTGATCATCTAGATATTTTTTAAATAGATGATGAGAAAATAGTCAAAGTTATTTTTTAAATTGCAGGATTTCTAATAGCCTTTAAGAAATGAACAGTACTTATTTATCTGTGGAATTTGTTTTCAAAGGAGTTCTGTTTAGGAAATAAGCCCATTTTCTTCAGCACCAGGATTTTCTAGAATTTCCATCCCTTGTAGAGGTTTACTCATACTCACGGTTTTTTTGTTTGTTTGTTTTTGTTTTGGTAGAGGTTTAGTTTGAGTGAGAAAAATGACTCAGCACCAGAATGGTCTTAGGAATACAGTATGTTAAGAAGCTATTTAATTGTTGAATTTCTGAAGTAACCTTGTTGCCAAGGTTGTGTAACCATTGAGGAACAATGATGGTGTACCTAGTTGTTGACCCTTGGGTTTGTGAGAGCTGCTGTATCTACTACCATTATCAGTCCTTGGCCAGAGGCTGAGAGCAGTGAAGCCAGTCCCTTCTTAGTTTCCAGCCATGGGTTGAGGAAGTCAGTATGCTTTCTGATCTCCACCCCCACCCCCACCTTGGGGCAGGAAAGATGTCAGGACAGACCCCCCATAGCTACTGCTTTCAAAGTGTCATTGATGGCTCCTCCTATCTCTCACAGCCTGGCTAGATTGACTTAACTGTAACCACCAACTGAAAAAAACAAACCGATCACCGTCGAGTCGATTCCGACCCATAGCGACCCTGTAGGACGGAGTAGAACTGCTCCATACGGCTTCCAAGGAACGCCTGGTCGATTCGAACTGCCAGCCTTTTGGTTAGCAGCCGTAGCTCTTAACCACTACATCACCAGGGTTTCCATAACCACCAGAGTCGTTCAGTAATTTCATGGATAAAGTAGTTTATCTTGAAAACCAGCAAGAGAATACATAAGCTTCACTGTGGCAACTGGTTAATGGCCCTGAAAGTTGAAAATATATGCCTGTTAACTTTAATATGGAAATCTAGTCAATAATTAATAATTAAAGAGATACAAGTCAAAACAAAAAAACGAGATGCCAGTTTTCACCTGTCAGATCTGGGAATGATTTAATATTTGATAAAACCCAATATTGGTGATTTCAGTTCTCAAGCATTCTCTTACGCTGCTAGTGGGAGTGTAAATTGCTTTAGCCCTGCCAAAAACCAGTTGCCATCAAGTTGAGTCTGACTCATGGTTACCCAGTGTGCGTCAGAGCAGAACTGTGCTCCACAGAATTTTCAACGGCTGGTTTTTTCAGAAGTAGATTGCGAAAAAAATTTTGGCCACGACAAATCCGATCAGCGTCTATAATCTCTAAAAGTCTACAAGATACTGCAAAACCTCAACAACAGAAAGACAAATAACCCAGTTAAAAAATGGG